TTGTTGTCCAAAGAAAATTTGTAAATGTAAATAACTTTTGTTGATTATTGATAATGAGTTTTAAATCATTCTCACATATTCCTTGTCCTCGATAAACAACTTTAATATCTGATTTGTCATTTTTCACACAAGACTCATTGATTTGTTTGTGGAGATCACGAATAAAAAATCCCATTTTTATCAACATTTCAAGATTTTGCATTTGAAAAGCTTTATTAATCATATGATAAACAAAACATTTTCTTGTATACCACCAAACAGCTTTTGAAGGTACATAATTTTGTTCGAAATCACCAATAATATCTAGTTCATCAGGATATTGTTCACGAGCATAATTAATCATATCGCTTTTACAATTTTCATCATACTTCATTTCATAAAGAAGAATTCTTTCAATCAAATATTGAATAATAACTTGTGATGAATTCAATATTTCATTTGGTAGAATATCATTTTCTGATAAATGAACTTTATCTTCCACATTCTTACATATTGATTCAACATTAGTGAATACACCTTCGATTTTGTCATATTGTTTTATCCATTCTTCATTATTTGATCTCATATTTGATATTATATAAATTACAAGTACTTGACACATCTTATGAATAAATGAAAGAATCTTCTCAGCAAATATATCAGATAATATCAAAAAGACTTTTTCTTCTTTTTTCATATCAAGTATAAATGCAAAGAATTCATCGATATCAGTAAATACTCGAAAACAATTGAACATATTCTTGAGATACTTAATATTATTTTCATTCTCATCAATATTTGAAACTAACCAAATAATCATATAATTATCGATCATGGTAGGTTTACGATATTGTGATAATAAAGTTGATGGTTCACCTTTTTTATGTTCAATACGTTTCAATATAGAATCTTTTGGATGAATATCTGGTGATGATTGTTTTGGTAATGATCCATGTCTTTTGTATGATACTAAAGAAGGTGATGGGTCTGCAAGACGTTTTGTTAAGAATTGAGTACATTCATTTCCCATAATATTACTTTTAATACAAAGGTATTTTATAATAGATATGAATTTGTAGTTATAAAATGTTCTTTTATCATACTAAGAGAATATGATGAGAAAATGATAAGAAAAGAGTTAAGATTGATGTCAAATATCATCATATAACATATTTATCTCTTTCACTCCAAACAATGTCAGATATGGTCTTATACACATGATTCATATGTGAAGAAATGTTGAATGATGATTTCGTTTACAAAATATAATAATGTGATAATGTGAATCGAATGAAAATTTATTCATCCTAATATTTATAATAATAATAACAATGATCTATTTCTATTTTGTATTCATTTAAATGAACTGTATGCACATTTCTTTTACAAATTGTTGATAAGAGTAGAAAGAGGTTATCAGTATGAGAATGTAAAATATTGCAGTTTTCTCTATCTCTAGAAACAAAAAAAAAGAACTAAGTTGCAGGAGAATATCTTTTTCTGAAATTATGTATGTTATTGATGAATAAAATAGTTGAAAAGAATAGATTAATATTTGATTTTGTTCATTCATGTATAATATTCTTATATAATGATATTATTAGTAAAAATAAATAACTGAATAATAGTAAAACAAGTACTCTTCATAAACAGATCTATTTAATTTATTTTACATCTTTTGAAGTTTATAATTTATATGAAATAAAGATATATTTTAGAATTAACTTGTATATAACTGAATAATTCTTTTAGCTTCACGAATACCACTTAGATAAGCACCATGTGCTGTACCATAGAATCTTTCATGTGTTCCTTCACCAGCAAAAAGAATAAGTGGCTCAGCTGATTTAGCATTTGTACATGGCATTGCTAATTGTTTAATATCATGAATATGTGATCCTATTCTAATAAATGTATGTGAACCATGGATAAATGTTTGATTATACCATTGTGATCGAATGATTTGTTTAGCTATTGGACTTTCATTATCAGGATAGAAATGACAAAGAAGTTCTTGAAATCCAACTAAAAGTAATTCATCTGGAATCTGTTCAATATATTTACTATTTTCACCACTTATTTCTGTTACAAGAACATTTGATAAACGATGATGAACATAAAAACTACTTATACTTTTACACCATTGACTCTGATAAATGAATAAATAAATAACAGTTTTAGAGATAGATATGTAGAACTTACATCATAAGGTGTATTCATAAAACATTTTAGTTTCCATTCTGTATTTGATCGATTTGTGTTCCATAAAAAATGAAATCTTTCAAAATCAACATCCCAAAATGGTTGAGAAAAAACAAGAAAAATCTAAAATACATGCCAAGTTCTTTTCTCTTACAAAATAGAATGAATGTTGATTCAACAAACTTTATTAATTGTACCAAATCCTAATTTTTGTATTGATACTTGTTTTGGATATGGTAATGGTGGAATAAACATTTCATGCATAGATTGTTTAAGACAACCAAGAGATTGTGTACAAACAACATGTTTAGCTTGATAAACTAATAATTGTTGATTATTGTTTTTCAACATGGTAATATTAACATATTGTTGTTGTTCATCAATCGATATTTGTTTCACAATCGTATTTAGTTCAATTTTATTTTTATTTATTTTACTAACAAATACTTTTTCTAATAAATTTATAAAACCATTTTGAATATAAGTTGTTTGATGATCATTTGATAGACGTTCAAAAGAATTCCATCCTAAGTTAAAAAAAAAAGAATGAAGTAGAAATGAAAAAAGATGTAGTAGAAGAACTATAATCTTACCTTGTACTGAAAGATAATTTAGTTGATTCGATCCAATTGTATTTAGATATGGATGTTGTTTAGTAAGCCAATTAATAACTTTTTCTCTTTCATCGACTTCATCTTCGTCTAACAATGGCTTTTTTACTGTTAAATATTGATGAAATTCTGATGAAATAAATTCACCTAAGGAAATATCTGG